AGTTTTTAAATTGCCTCTTCAAATCTCTTTTTTCGTTATAGGTTTATTTATTTGTTCTACCTCTGTTTGTATTAGTTTAGGTAGGTAGTGTGTTTCTAGAAATTTGTCCATTCCCTCTAGGTTTTCAAATTTGTTAGAGTACAGTTTTTCATAGTACTCTGTTACGATTCTTTTCATTTCAGTTGGGTCCATTGTGATACTGCCTATCTCATTTCTTATTCGGGCTATTTGCTTCCTCTCCTGTTTTTCTTTTGTCAGTTTGGCCAGTGATTTATCGATTTTGTTGATCTTTTCAAAGAACCAGTTTTTGGTCTTGTTGACCCGTTCATAATTGTTTTTCTGTTCTCTATTTCATTTATCTTCTCTAGTTCATTTATCTCTGCTGTAATTTTTATTATTTCCTTTCTTCCGGTGCCCCTGGGCTTCTTTTACTGCTCCTTCTATTCGAGTTGTAGGGTTAAGTTTTGATTTTTGGCGCTTTCTTCTTTTTGGATGTATGCATTTGTTGCTATAAATTGATCTCTGAGCACTCCTTTTGCTGTGTCCCAAAGGTTCTGGTAGGATGTATTTTCATTCTCATTTGATTCTATGAATTATTTTATTCTGTCCTTAATTTTTTCTGTAAGCCAGTATTTTTTGAGCTAGGTGTTGTTCAGTTTCCATGTATTTGATTTTTTTTACCTTAGTTTTTCTGTTATTGATTTCTACTTTAAGGCTTTATGGTCAGAAAAGATGCGTTGTAATATTTCTGTGTTTTGGATTCTGTTAAGGCTTGTTTTGTGGCCTAATATGTGGTCTATTGTGGAGAACTCCATGTGCGTTGGAAAAGAAAGTATACTTGGATGCTGTTGGGTGGAGTGTTCTGTATATGTTTATGAGATCAAGTTGATTGAATGTGGCATTTAGATCTTCCGTGTCTTCATTGAGCTTCTTCCTGGATGTTCTGTCCTTTACTGAAAGTAGTGTGTTTAAGTGTCCTACTATTATCGTGGAGCTGTCTGTTTCTCTTTTCAATACCGTTAGAGTTGGCTTTATGTATTTTGGAGCCCTGCCGTTGGGTGCATAAATACTCATTATGGTTATATCCTCCTGGTGTATTGACTTTTTAATCATTATATAGTGTCCTTCGTTATCCTTTGTGGTGGATTTGACTTTAAAGTCTATTTTGTCAGAGATTAATATTGCCACTTCTGCTCTTTTTTGAGTGTTGCTTGCTTGATATGTTTTTTTCCACCGGTTGAGTTTTAGTTTGTTTGTGTCTTTGAGTCTAAGATGTGTCTCTTGTAGGCAGCATTTAGACGGATCGTGTTTTTTAAATATCTGCCACTCTCTGTCTCTTTATTAGTGCATTTAGCCCATTTCCATTTAGTGTAGTTATTGAAAGGTGTGAGTTTAGTGTTGTCATTTTGATGTATTTTTTTTGTGTGGTGTTGACGGTTTCTTTGTTCCACTTAATTTTCTGTGCTGAGTCATTTTTCTTTATTTATTTTCTTTTTATCTTTTTCATTGCTGTTGATTTTGTATTTGCTGAGTCTTTATGTTTTTTCTGTTTTTTATTTTGATGTATAGGATTGTTAGCTTCCTTTGTGGTTACCTTAATATTTTTCCCTATTTTTCTAAGTTTAAGCCAGTCTTTTATTTCTTTATATTGCCTTGTCTTCCTCTCCATTTGAAAAATCTTTGGCTAAGTTTTTTAGTCCCTGTTTTTTGTTTTATGTTGTTATGTTTTACATATTGACATCTCTGTTTCCCTATTTTCAGTGTTTTAGCTTTGACTTATTTTTGTGACTTTCCTATCTGGGGTGATACCTGGTTGTTCTATCCTGTGTTCTAGTCTTGGGTCGTTATCTGATATAATTGATTCTCTAACTGGAGAACTCCCTTTAGTATTTCTTGTAATTTTGGTTTGGTTTTTACAAATTCCCTTAACTTCTGTTTATTTGGAAATGCCCTAATTTCACCTTCATATTTGAGAGACAGTTTTGCTGGATATATAATTCTTGGCTGGTAGTTTTTTTCCTTCAAGGCTTTATATATGTCATCACGTTGCTTTCTTGCCTTCATGGTTTCTGCTGAGTTGTCAGAGCTTAGTTTTATTGACTCTCCTTTATAGGTGAGTTTTCGTTTATTCACAGCTGCTCTTAAAATTCTCTCTTTATCCCTGGTTTTGGCAAGTTTGATTATAACGTGTCTTGGTGACTTTCTTTTGGGATCTAGTCAATGTGGGGTTCGATGAGCTTCTTGGATAGATGTTTTCTATCTTTCATGATATCAGGGAAGTTTTCTGCCAAAAAATCTTCAACAATTCCCTCTGTATGTTCTGTTATTCCCCCCCTTTCTGGTATTCCAATCACTCATAGGTTATTCCTCTTGATAGAGTCCCACAGAATTCTTAGGGTTTTTTCATTTTTTAAGAATTCTTTTATGTTATTTTTCCTGAAATAAATTGATGTCAAGTGCTTTATCTTCAGTTTCACTAATTCTTTCTTCCATTGCCTCAATTCTGCTCCTGTGACTTCCTTTTGAGTTGTCTGATTCTGAAATTTTATTGTTAATCTTTTGGATTTCTATTTGCTATCTCTCTGGATTCTAGCAGCCTGTTAAATTTGTCATTTTGCTCTCGTATAGCCTTCCTAAATTCCTCTTTTGTTTTGTCTGTGTGTTCTTTGCCTTGGTCTGCATTTTGCCTGATCTCCTTCCTGATATTTTGAAGAGCTCTGTATGTTAATCTTTTGAATTCTACCTCTGGTAATTCCAAGACCTTATCTTCCTCCGGGAGGTTTCCTGGCTCTTTGTTTTAGTCGCTTGCTGGAGCCTCTTTATGTGATTTGATATTGATTGTAGTCTCTGAGCCATCAATAAGTTATTATATTTATTTATTGTATGTTTGCTTATTGCATCCTAGCTTTTGTTTTGTTTTGATTTGATATGCCCAAATAGCTGGGCGTGTGAGCCACTTTGATTATTGACATTTTTAAAGCTCTAATGTCCTGTCACCAAGTAGTTAGAGCTGCTACTAGGTATGTGAGCCTAGGAGTCCGTTTACTCTTCTCATGTGGATTCAGCTCAGTTATACAGGTTGTCGGTCACTGAGTGTGTGGTGCAGGCTGTCACCTGCCATCCTAGATGAGTAGTGCTACATAGGGGTGATTGGAGCAGGCACAGGTATCTCGCTGCAGTAGGGGGTTATGTGGTGACCAAGGTAGGGGACTAACAGCTGCCCCTGAGTGCTTAGTTGGAAGGTGTGTCCCTGTCACCTAGAACATGTAGGTGGGTGGGTTTTACAGCCGAACTTGGGACTCCCAGTGCTGTTGCTTTGAGTATTGGGAGACGCCACTTATTTTCGGACCCGTCATGGGTGGCTAGTCATAGTGAGCGACGCTTCCGGTCCTCAGGCCCTTGATGTGGGTGGATAGGACCCTGCTTAATGGGCAGGGTAGTGTCAAATATCTTGTATCTGCTACTCCTCGTTGTTAGCTGTGCAGTTGAGAATAGGCTTCAGGTATATACCCAGTTGTACTATGGTAATGAGGGCTTATGCTGTTGAATGGGCCCACACAGGTCTATGCAGGGCTGAAAGGCATTCGAAGTCCATGGGCTTCTTATGCCTGTGCCTAGGCAAAGGGGCAGTGGCTGCCCTGAGTTCCTGGCTTAGAGAGCGTGCTAACTTTTTAAAGCCGGATGACTGGCTTGGACGCAATCAGCCATGAGGGCCCAGCTTAAGGGAGGTGGTGGTTTCCTTTTTCATTTATTTGTTCCTTCCCCAAAGCCTGGAGACTGGCTAGGCATGAGGTGTCCCACTTCCAGCCCAGCGGGTGTGGCAACAGCTGAACTCCGCTGTACTGGAGCAGAGCAGGGAGGGTGCGGGTGAGGGGAAGAGAGTACTTCCCAGATGAGGTACGGTTATTTTGATCCCGTGCTGTAGGTTAGATGCTTGCACTTAACTCTCGCAGATCCAGTGCCGCTTCCCCGTGGCTCCAGAGGCTTGTGCAGACTCTCCCCTGCTCGGTTTCTCCCGGTATGGTAAAAACACATCCGGAGCACCACTGCTTGCCTCAGCCCTTGTGCGCCCAACATTCCAGCCTGCACAGTGCCAGCTAGGTCAGGTCTGGCACTTCTTCGCTTCCTCTGAATTGTCTCTCTCTCCCCCTGCTGTTCAGTCCAGATTCCTCACCTTTGTCTTTGATGTTCTAGGGCTCCTAAATTGTTCTATATAATCGATTCACTTGTTTTTTTGGTTTTTGTTGTAAGAGGGACCACAGGAAGTGTCTGCTTGTTCCACCATCTTGGCCCTGCCTCCAGAACACACAAACTCTTAACTGTTAGGCCACATTGTTTCTCCATAAGTACCTTAAATGCTTTTTAACTGAGTGCTGTTCTAAGATTACTTCCCTAGAGACCTTCCCTGACAACTGATTGCCCTTCAAGGCAAATAGTCCACCCTTGGTACTTTATCAAGGAGCCCTGGTGGCACAGTGGTTAAGCGCTCAGCTACTAACTAAAAGGTCAGCAGCAGTTTGAACCCACCAGCTGCTCCATGGAGGAAAAGACCTGGTGATCTACTGTAAAGATTTACAGTCTAGGAAACTCCATGGGGGAGTTCGACTCTGGCCTATAGAGTTGCTATGAGTCTGAATTGCCTCAGCGGCACACGACAAGTACTTTATACAAGTCTCTGGGTGGTGCAAACAGTTTGTGTGTGATTACTAACCCAAAGGTTGGTGGTTCAAACCCACCCAGCAGCACCACAGAAGAAAGGCCTGGTGATCTGCTTCCATAAGATTATAGCCAAGAAAACCGTATGGAGCAGTTTTACTTTGTAACACGTGGCATCGTTGAGTTGGAATTGACTCGAGGGCAATTTTTTTTTCCCCCTTTTTTTCAGTTTTAGGTGCTTTGTAGAACTTTATATTCTCATTTGTTATAATTTTATTATATTTCTAAAATGTATAGGATCTGTTTGACTGCACAAGTTGGTCATGATGTTCTTTTTCTTGTAGTGAAAGGCAAAGAACAAGAGAAGACCTCAGATATCAGGTCAATTAAAGGTAAGTTTATCAGCCTTCCATTGTATTGAAAAGTGATTTGCTTTGCATATAAGTTCTTTAATCCTGTTATCATCTCCTTTTGGCCTTAATCATTTCTGTGTTGTTTTACAGTTATTTATGATTGTGACTTATTTCCTGCTTTCTTCCCTAATTTTCTTCTACATCTAGCACAGATAGGCTGTTACTAAGCATTTGTTGACTCTCCTAGTGATTACAGTGAACCATTGTCCTCCTTATTAATCACACATTTGATCATTCCCTAAAAGCAGTTGGCTGGCTTTATTTTAAAAATCAGAAAAGCAAGAATTCTCTTAATTAAGCAGCCTTTGATTGATAGTGCTGGAAACAAGGAGCTCTGGATGGAATTGGAATTAATATAGGAGGTAGAATGGATAGGACTTTGTTATGGATTAACTATGAGGTGGGAGAACGAGGGTGATATTAAGGATGATAACTACTCTTCTGGCTTGTCTAATTGTGTGACTGGTGGAAGAACCAAGCTAGGAAATTGTATGTTTAGTTTTGATATGTTACGTGGCAGGTACTTTTGAGACATGCATCTTACATGTGTTACTTTATCTACACAGTAATTCTAGATTCTGAGTTTTTAACCAAGGTAATAAAGTGAGTTTTTAGAGTCTGGCAGACCTAGGTTGAAGTCTTGACTCTACTCTCTACTAGGTCTTTGACCCAGGCCAAAGTATTTAATTTCTTTCCATTTGTTTCCTCGTCTCTAAAATGAGCAAAATACTGATCTTGCAGGGTTGTTGTGAGAGATAAATGAAATAATACACCAGAGAAAAGACGTGTATGTGTTAAGAAACCAATACAGTGCCTAATACATAGTAGATACTTAAGTAGTAGCTATTATATAGTTTTAAGATAGTAAGCCCTCAAATATGTTCACTTAGTTAAATTAAGTGAAATATTGCAAGATGTTCAGAGGAATTTGAGATCAGCAAATGATTTCTGAAGTTTAGGGAAGCCTTCATGTAAATGAAACCTACTAAAAGTTGAAGGATTTGAATGAAAGAGGAAATTCTTTCTTTCTCTTTTCTCCCTGTCAGTCCAGCTTCTTATTTCTATGTGTGTATATAGGAGCCCTGATGGAGCAGTGGTTAAGTGTTCAGCTGTTAACCAAAAAGTTGGCAGTTCGAATCCACCAGCCGCTCCTTGGAGAGACAGTTCTGCTCTGTCCTAGAAGGTTACTGTGAGTCAGAATTGACTCAATGGCAGTGGGTTTGGGTTTTTTGTTTTCTGGTTTTTTTTTAGGTATATTGGACACAGGGCCCTTCAGACAAGTAAAGGGAAATTTTTACAGATAGATTGAGATCAGATTATGGAGAGTCTTAAAGACCAGAAAAGACAGTTGAGACAGACAAAACGGGGCCATTTTAGGCTTTTGAGCAGGATATTGATTTTATAAATATGATATTTATGAAAGGTTAGTCTGAAAGAGTTGTGCAGGATGAAGATTGTAAAAGTTCTTTTATTGCAGTAGAGAAAGACCTATGCTGAGGATGTGGTGTTGAAAATAAACAGATAAGTAGGTGTTTAAACATTTTGAGAGAAAAACAGATCTTGGCAAGTAAGCAGATACAGTGAAAAAGAATGGGATCAAGATGTTGAACTTTGGAGACTGGTCAATTGAACAGAAACAGGAAACTGAGAAGGGGACTTAGTTTGAAAGATTTGATAAGTTTGATATTTGAACAAAGTGGGCTTAATACGGTAAAAATCAAAGTGGGAATGCCTAGTAGTAAATAATTAGAGTTACAAGACAGAAGCCCAGGTCAAAGGACAAGTCTGAGATACAGGTTGACTGTTTTCCACCCATGTTCCATTTCCCTGAGGTGCGCCCTAGGAGCTGTTGCACAGAGGGCCCGGGTCAAGGGAGTAAATGAGACTTTCCCCTGAAGTCAGCCACAGTTAGCTCTGGTTTTTTCTATTTTACAGACATTGCAGGGTGTCACTTACGACTTTTTGGGGGGGGAAAGAAGGAGCTTACAGCTGAAAAAAATTTGAAAACTGTTGCTCTCGTAATAATCGAAGGTTTAAGAATAAATGTGCTTTCAAACATAAAGAATAAGAGAACAGAAAACCTTAGGAAGAAGAAGAGTCAAGAAAGGAGACTATATGCGACACTAAAAAACCCCGTTGCCGTCGAGTCAATTCTGACTCAGCAACCCTATAGGACAGAGTAGAACTGCTCCATAGGGTTTCTAAGGAGCAACTGGTGGATTCAAGCTGCAGAGCCTTTACTAAATGTGTACTAAAGAATGACAGAGAGGAACAGATAGAAGAGGAAATTAAGGAGCGTGTAGTATCATGGAGACCAAGGAAAGACTATCAGGAAGGAGCAGGTAAAAAAAGTTGCTAGTTCAAACAGAGAAGAGGGGGGAGAAAAAAGCCTTGCGAAATGAATTAGTAACATTTTACATTTAGTAACATTTTACATTATCTTATGCATCTAATTAAGAAACAGTTATTTAGGCAGAAAGTCTTACACTGTTCCTATGGAATGTTGTCTGTAACTTGTTTTTACAAGAAAATTAGCTATTATTGTCAACTTGCTAAAATTATTTTATTCTCTTCAATTTATCATGAAAATAAAAACAAAAATATGAACAAAACAAGACTTCCTTCTAAAATTGACAAAAATAATTTGAAGACATTTACTCTCCATAATTCCTCCAACTCTTATTGAATGACTGGTAAATTTAGATTCAGGCAGTCCCTGTGTTACAAACGACGTCCGTTCCTAACTGTGTCTGTAAGTCAAATTTATAGGTAAGTCAGAACAGGTGCATGCAGTTCTTATTTAGCTTTATTGTGTACTTCAGTGCAACAAAAGGCTGGAAGCCTTTTCTGTAATTTAAAAGCTGCATTTGCAGCAAGTGAAGGTAATTGTGATGAAAAATTTGTTGCCAGTAGGGGTTGGTTCAGTCCTTTCAAAGTGAGGTCAAATGTACATAACATTAAAGGTCAAGTACAAGTTGACCCTAAGTCAGACATTAGTAACCTGGCAATGTCTGTACCTGAAAACAGGTGTGGATAATCACATTCTTACCTGCTTTATCCTTTAAGGACATCTCAAAGAACGATAGACTGAATTATAGTACTATGTATTCTTTATAAGAAATATTACCAACTAAGATTTTTTATCTGGCCACTATTTGCTGAGATTGAGAGCACGTATCTGTTAACTGATCAATTAAAATAAGTGGTGTAGTAGATACAAATTTAGTTATCTAAGAGTATTTATCTTAAGTGTGTGGAATGCTAAATAATCTGTATCATTTCTCCTTCCTGACATAGTAATATACTAAAGCAGAACTTTGGGGAAAAAAACCTTTAATAAGAGACACTGATGTTTGTGTGGAATAATTAGGATAGGTAGAATTCTAATTCAGCTGTATTGAGAAGTTTATAGGGTTTCTTTGACAGTATTCTAATATTGAGTTGATTACTTCCAGTTAATATCATTAGTAACTAACGTCTTTTTTAAAGTAAAAAGGATGATAGTATTATTTTTTCAGACTACTAAAGAAAATATTTTTTTAATTTAAATGATTAAGAGCTTGGCAGCCAGCTGAAAGAAAGGTTTGTAGTTCGAATCTGCCAGCCCCTGCTTGGAAACCCTGTGGGGCAGTTCTACTCTGTCGTATAGGGTCGCTATGAGTTGGAATCGGCTCAGCTGCAACGGGTTATCATTAAGCAGCTTGAGCTTTGATCATAAATTTTTTTTATTAGACTGAGAAATTTTGTTACTCAATAAAATAAGTATTCTGAAGACTATTTTCTAGCTTTTTTCCACGAGCATTTGCTCTGCAATTTTAGTTTTGCTCCTGATGCAAGCAAAGATTAAGCAATTGAAAATTAAAACATATTTCAGAATGTTTCCTGGCTTTTAGTACTTTCTTCTATCTTCAGTAGAAAAAGGTCTCAGAGAAAGCTCTCTCTAAGTTCTATTTTTGGCACAGTATTCCGAGAATTGTAGTATTAGAGATTTCATTCCAATCGTCTGCTGCTTGATTAAGTTACCTTTCCTGTTAAGTATTTTTTTGTTGAATGTGCTGATTTAATAGAAGTGTTACAAACATAATTTTTAAAGTTCTCTTAAGCTCTCTAATTGTGTTTAATTTTTAACATTTTTTAAAAAAATTATAGCTTCAATATCTGTACATTCCCCACAAAAAAGCACTAAAAATCATGCCTTGCTAGAGGCTGCAGGACCAAGTCATGTTGCAATCAATGCCATTTCTGCCAACATGGACTCCTTCTCAAGCAGCAGGACAGCAACACTTCAGAAGCAGCCAAGCCACATGGAGGCTGCTCATTTTGGTGACCTTGGTAAGTGACTATCACTTCTCATTATCTTCCAACGGGGAAGGATTTGTGTGCAATATGTGAAACTCTTTCCATAGTATACTGAACTGTATAATTTGAAGGAGCTTTGAAAGAAATATATTTAAACTAAAAGAACAGCTACACATATTTAATTGGTAGCACTGTGTTTTGTTCCTGTAACTACAAAATATAAAGCATGCCCAATAGAAAAATGGATCATTTCCAAAAGAAGAAATATATATAGCTATGAAATATATGACAGAAATGCTTCGCTTTACTAATACTCAGGGAAATGCAAATTTAAACAATGTTAGTGTTCCCCTATTATTAGCAAATGTTTAAAGTTTGATAATTTGAATGTTATTGAAGATTCAGGAAAATGGCTGATCCCACTTAGTGGAAGTGTAAATTGGTGAAGGCTTTTTGGAAGTTAGTTTGGAAGTATTTATCAAAATATAAAATATGCATACCGTTTTAGGCAGCACATGTATTTCTAAAATCTAGCCCTCAGTTATGCCATCATAAATGCACAAAGATGTATGTACAAATATTTATAAGGCTATTCATTGCAGTAGTGTTTGTGATAGCAAAAAAAAGTAACAACATATATCTCTTAATAGAAAAGTAAAGAGCCCTGGTGGTACAGTGGTTAAGCTCTCAGCTGCTAACTAAAAGGTCAGCGATTCAAGCACACCAGCTGCTCCATGGGTGAAAGATGTGGCAGTCTGCTTTCATAAAGATTACAGCCTTGGAAGCCCTATGAGGCAGTTCTGCTCTGTCCTGTAGGGTCACTGTGAGTTGGAATTAACTCAACTGCAAAAGGTTTTTAGTAGAGAAATACTCAAATTGTGGTGTACTCATAGTCTGAAATACTGCTTAGCCAGTTAAAAATCTGAGGAAGACATGGGGGAAATGTCCAAGACATGTTAAGTTAAAAAAAAAAAAACCAAAACCCCATAGTAATATGTATAGTAGGATCCCTGTTACGTTAAGATAATGCCTACCACGCCCCCAACAAAGAAAAGATATGTAGGAGATCCTTGTTTTCTGAGTATTACTCAGACTTCTTCACAAATAAAATTACATGTCATTTTGTCATAAAATAAAAAAAAATTATTAATGAATCGACTTCTAATAAAATCAATTCCTCCTTTTTTTAATGTATCTTATTTTTTTGTTGTTTTTGAGAATACATAAAACGAGACATACATACAGTTCAACAGTTTCTACATGTACACTTTGGTGACATTGATTACATTCTTCAAGTTGTGCAACCATTCCCACCCTCCTTTTCCTCTCCCATTAATATAAATTTGCTACTCCTGAAGTGTCCTATCTAATCTTTTGATTCACTGTTATCAGTTTGATCCCATATAAACAGTTCTTAAAAAGAGCACAGTGTTGAAGGCAGACATTCTTTACTACTTAAGCTAAACTATTGTTTGGTTTAACGAAGACTTCAGGAGATATTTTTGGTTTAAGGTTTAAAGATTATCTCAGGGCTTAGCCCCTCTTTTGACATCTCTCTCTGTTTAACATTAGTATATATCCAAAGCCAAGGTGTCAGTCTTTGTGGGCTATTCTCAGCAAAGACTGCAACCAAAATGTGTATTGTTCACAAAGTAAAATTGCAAGTTTTACTGGAATATTCATATATTGCATATTATGATAATGTGAAATAATACAGCCACTCTAGAAAACAGGTAGGCAGTTTCTTATAAAGTTAAGTGAGCAATTATCTTATGACCCAGCACTCTTGGGAATCTATCCCAGAGAATTAGAAACTTTATACAAAAATATGTACACACAATTCATAACAACTTTATTTGTAATAGCCAAAAACTAGATGTCCTTCAACAGGTGAATGGTTTAACAAACTGTCGTAGCATACCATGCAATACTACTTAACAATAAAATACAACAAACTATTGATATGTGCAAACTATTGATTCATCAACTTGTATGAACCTCAAGGGAATCATTGAGAGAAAAAACGCCAACCCCAAACAGTTACATACTGTTTAACATTCTTGAAAAGACAAAATTATAGAAACAAAGAACAAATTAGTGTTTGCTAAAGATTACAAATGGAAAGGGGAGAATAGAATAGGTAGGTGTGGCTATAAAAGGGCAATTTGAGGCATCTTTGTATTGGAGATGCTCTGTATCTTGATTATAGTCATGGATATATGAATCTACACGTGATAAAATTGCATAGAAATAAATACACACCAAAAAAAACACATACAAATCAGAACAAGTAAAAGTAGGGAAATCTGAATGAGATTGGTAGACTGTATCAGTGTCAATGTTTTGGTTGTGATATTGTACTATAGTTTTGCAAGATGTTACCATTGCAGGCAACTGAGTAAAGGGTACAGGGATCACTTAGCATTATTTCTTACAACTGAATATGAATCTGTCATTATCTCAACATAAAACATTTAATTAAAAAAAAACTTGTAAGTCTTACAAAAGATCAGAATTTCTGAAAGTGGTTTTGACAGAGATGGACTAGTTAGCATTGACTATAAGACCATCAGCAAGGATGAGGACACATGAAGTGCTTCAACAACAACAACAAAAAGGTTTGAATATCAAAGGATTAAGAAAAACCTTTATTTGGAGCAAGCTGACGGCATGAGCAGCTGCATGCTTGCTTCACCCTACAAAACACACACACACACACACACACACAGACAGACACACACACACAGACACACAGACACAGACACACAGACACACACACACACACACACACAAAAGGCAAGCAGAAACTGACAACCAGCTTTGCCAGAACTCTGGAAACCAGTGAGTGAAAAGGTTACAGCAACTAAGCATGTTCTGAACCAAGTAAAAAGTAGTATAAATGGTAGGAAAGCTTTGATTTTTTACTCACCTGTGTCTCACCTGCTCCCCAACTTAGTGTGGCCATCTTAAAGTGGCAGTGGCCCTCACTGCCAGAGAGGGAGCCTGGTATCTGCTCCAGATGGAACAGAGCAGCTTTTATTAGCAAATTTCTCTTTGTTTCTGTTCTAACCTGTCTGGGGGCTGCCTGAAGGACTTAAGGTGCTTATCCCAGGTTGGCCTTCTTGGAGCTCATACAGGGTGGAGGGGCAGTAAGTAATGCCAGAAAGCTGTAGCCACCTGTAGCTGCCTGAGACTAAAGGGTTCAATTGGGACATAGAATAGGCACATAAAGACTTGAAGGAGAAGTCAGGGAGAGAGTTTCTTTTGGAAAAAGGCTTTCAAAAGCATCATGTGTATGGGGGAATTAAAAAAGCTGTACTCTTGTCCAGAGCAAGATGCATCATCAGAAATTATCTGACAAGACCCTGTGCTTTCACCTTGGCTATCCATAGGCTCAGTGCACGCCTGGCTGAGTGTTAATGGAAGGCCCTGATACAGGGCCAGTTTGCAAAGAATGGAGGAGGTTCCCTTCACCTCCCACCCTCTTGGCATTCAAGGAAATCTTTGTCAGAACAATAGCTGAACACAAGCTTCAGAGACATCAGTGTCCACACAAATTCAGGAGAGCAGCTGCAGTAATAATTAGAGGAAGTCACTAAACAAATGGACTACTACAGTCTTCAACAATTAAAAAAAAGCAAAAACAAAACAGAAAACGGAGGAAGACAAAAAAACTGATATTTAGAGTCACCACATTATATTTAAATATCCCATTTTCAACAAAAAACAAGGCATAAAAAGAAACAGGAAAGGATGGCACATTGAAAAGAATAAAGGATAGAAGCTCTTCCAGGGAAGCCCAGATGGTGGACTTACTACACAAAGACATTAAAACAACAGTATTAATATGCTCAAGGAGCTAAAGAAAAACACAAAGAACTAAAGGAAATCAAGAAATGGACACATGAACAAAATGAGAATATCAATAAAGAGATAAAAATTATAAAATGTAGCCAAATTATGTAGCTGAAAAATACACTAAGTGAAATTTTAAAAATCACTGCAGGGGCTGAACAGCAGATTTGAGCTGGCAGAAGAAAGAATCAGTGAACTTTAAGGTAGGACAATTGAAATTATCAAATCTGAGGAGCAAAAAGTAAACAAAGAATGAAGAAAAGTAAACAGATCCTAAGGGACTTGTGGAAAACCATCAAGCAGACCAACATATGCATTATAGGAGTTCAAGAAGGAAAAGAGGCAGAAAGGAACAGGAAGAATATTTGAAGAAATAATGGCAGAAAACTTCCAAAATTTGATGAAAGACATTAAGTTACACATCCAAGATAGCAAACTCCATAGGCTAAACTCAATGAGATATACACTAAGACACATTATAATCAAACTTTCAAATACTAAAGTTAAAGAGAGGATCTTGAAAGCAGCAAGAGAGAAATGAATTGTCACATATAAGAAAGCCTCAGTAAGATTTAGTACTGATTTCTCCACAGAAACTATGAAGGCTAAAGACAGTGGGATGACGTATTTAAATGCTGGAGGAAAAGAACTGGCAACCAAGAATTTTATATCTGGCAAAACTGCCCTTCAAAAATGAGGGCAAAAATAAGACATTCCCAGATAAACAGAAACTGAGGGTGTTTGTTACCATGAGACCTTCCCTACCAGTAATGCTGAAGACAGTCTTTCGGGTTGAAATGAAAAGACACTAGACAGTAGCTTGAAGCTTTATGATGAAAAAAAGATCTCTAGTAAAGATACTTTCATGTGTAAATATAAAGGCTAATTTTACAGTAACTTTGATTTGTAACTACTTTTTATGTCATATGATTTAAAAGATAAATGCAAAATAATTATAGTTCGTTATTGGTTATACAATGTGTTAAGATGTGGTTTCTGACAACAGTAACATAAGGGGAGAGGAGCAATTTAAGAAAAGTTTTTGTATGTTATTGAAGTTCAGTTGGTATCGTTTTAATCTAGGTTGTTATAAATTTAGGATGTTAAATGTAATCCCCATAGTAACTACAGTACGTATATATATACATATATAATATCTAAATATATGTATATATGGT